TACGTAAAGAAATGAAAGAAATGAAAAGAAAACAGTAGTCATCGTGATTATCCCTAAACTACTCTTTCATATTATGATTCATTCTTCGTTTATGTGTTCAAATCGTTTTTTGCGAAGTATCATTTGCCCGGAAGGAAAATTCAACGTGTGTCGTGTGTGGCAATGTACGCATATTCCCAATTATTATCTTGCCTATATATTGTAGTATACTTCGGGCAAAGGCACGTAATACCTCGAGGCAACTATCCTGTTCTTCGAACGGTGCCGATGAGAATTCGTCTCATTATTTCTTCGAAAAATCCATTCTCAAGGTTCCTTCGGGCAAGATCTTTCGTTCTTCGAAAAAAATGTCTGGGTGGTCTTCGAGAGAGATAAAGATAAAGAGAGAGAGAGAGAGAGAGAGAGAGAGAGAGAGAGAGAGAAGGAGAGAGAAAGAGATAGAAAGATAAAGAGAAAGAGATAAATACTGGTATTCGCAATCGTTTGCCTCTTGTAACTATGAAATTATACTAAACATTTTAACGAGCCCTTCAACCACCTACAAACTATTTTTACAATCAATCCTTCTTCAGTCACCAACGTCGTAGTTTTAACTAGCACACGTTCATTTATATACGATAAACTTTTCTATTATTATATACGGGCGTTTCATTCTCATAAATCTTTTCGATAATGCATCGTCTAATATAACTTCGAGAAACAGTGTTCAAGAAGAATCCAATAACTTTGAAAGAGGAAGACAGCGAGTTTAAAGAAGGACGCTCTATGCTTATGAATAAACGAGAACTCCAACGTAAATTTCCAAACGATTTACGATCTCTTTTACTCCCTTACATTCTCTCTCTCTCTCTCTCTCTCTCTCTCTCTCTCTCTCTCTGTCTTTTGATAACTACCTTGACACTCGATAACTTCGACACCCGTTGTATTCGATATTCTAGGCACTTCAATCCCTTCTTACCCCTTTTTCACACACACACTCCCTCTCCCTCTCTCTCTCTCTCTCTCTGTTTTTCTCTCTCTCTCTCTCTCTCTCTCTCTCTCTCTTTATATCGATCGTGAACACAAATGCCAACGATCCGAATTGATCTAGATCAACGATTCGATTCGTCTCAGCTGTTGCAGCTTAAATGAGAGTTCTCATCTACTCACGTCTAACGTGGATTAGCCGTCGTTCTTCAAGAGAAGAAAGCCTGCCAAGTAAATATAATAACCCTGAAGTCGCTCGAATAAAAATGATTTATGTATGCGATAACTCGAACCTGAAAGAGATTTATGGATATACCGGGTGTCCTTCACGTCTACGTGATATCGTACTAAGTGTGCGAGGAGAAGAAAAAGAAAAAGAAAAAGAAAAAGAAAAAGAAAAAGAAAAAGAAAAAAAAGAAAAAAGAAAAAGTAAAAGAAAAAAAGGAAAAAGAAGGGAAAAAGGCAAAAAAGTCGTTTATAATACAACGTTGTCTCGTACTTTCGCGATAATATCGTTAAGAAGCGTGAGATTGATACGTTAAAAATTGTCTGGTTGACACGTGGTAGTTGGCAGGGTGGTGGTGGTGGTGGTGGTGGTGGTGGTGGTGGTGGTAATAGGGAAGAGGCGGAAAGGGGAGAGAAGAAGGAGGTACGCTACCTTTAAAAGGTGGAAAAATTCGTGCGCGACGATTAATTGAAATTGTGAGAGGAGAAAAGGCTCGACGAAGGCGCAACGTAGTCGATTGAATTTGTTATTCAAATTCGCTCGTAATATGTAAATGAATATTTGTGACCAAGTATGTACAGCAAGCGGAACTTCTTATCTCGTATGTATTCACTCACATCGTTCAAAGGTAGAAACGAAATTTCTTTTCCTTTTTTTTCTCTTTTTTTTTTTTTTGCTCTTTTTTCTTTCTTTATTTCTAATGTTTTTTCCTTCCTTTTCTTTTTTCTTTGTTTTTTTTTTTTTGTTTTTTCTTTTTTGTTTGCTTTTTTTCCCTTCTCGCGCGTCGACTATACGAATAATAATAGATTGTATGTTCATACCGATTTATTTTCGAATCTATCCTATATGCAAATCTATTTCAAGGAAAAGGAAAAAAAGAAGAAAGAAAAAATTCAATAAAGTATTTGAAATAGAAAAAGAGAGAAATAGAAAAAGATCAAATCGTAAACTCGTATAAAGCGATACAATACGACGAACGAGAGAGAGAGAGAGAGAGAGAGAGAGAGAGAGGGAGAGAGAGAGAAATAGAAAAGAAAAAAAGAAAAAAAGAAATCCGGCTACGCGTATACGTTTTAAAGGATCCTTACGTAAAGAATTTCACGAGGCAAATGTATGAGTCTGAATTTCAGTAAAAGATCTCAGACTCTGAATTTCTTTTTTACGTTTCTACGTTAGCTAATGGTAGTGTACGCGGAATGGTCTACGAACGTCCAACGCAGCTTATGGTCGCATTTTAAAACCATTTTACCAAAGTCGACGGAAACTACTTCCTAGCACTTTGCTTTCTAACGTAGTCATTCTGATAATATATTTTCTCTCTGTCTCTGTCTCTGTCTCTGTCTCTGTCCTTCTTTCTTTACTTCTTTCTTTTTTTCTTTCTTTCTTTCTTTCTTTCTTTCTTTCTTTCTTTTGCTCCTTTTCTTGGATGACGTTTTGGATATTGCGTCCGCGGATCTAACAAGCCGGTTCTCTTTCAACGTGAAAGAAATACGAGCCGAAGTCGAGGTGCCACTCTAATTACATACCACGTTGAAAATATGAAAATTAAAACGCGATCCAACGATGATACCAGCCTCTCGAATAAAACGTAGGTAGGTAGGTAGATAGGTAGGTAGGTAGGTAGGTAGGTAGGTAGGTGGGTACGTAAGGTACGTACAACGTAAACGTAAGATATTTTTTCTTTTTTCTTTCTTCCATTTTTTCTTCTTCTTTTTTTTTTTTTGTTTTCTCTCCTCGTCATCATGAAGGAAGAAACTTGCGGTTTCTTGGGGAGATAATTCGAGAACGTGTGTGTTACATCTTTTTAACGCAACGACCACGAGATACACGCGTTAATCCTTTCTGACATTCGTCAGTGAAAACGACCGTAATTATCTTAATATCTTGTAAGAACCCGCATTTCGAATTGCTCGCTATCAAATAATTTTCATCTTATTTTAGATTGCTTTTTATTTATTTATTTATTTATTTTCTTCTTTTTTTTTTTTTTTTTTCTTCTTCACTCGTCTCCTTCCATCTTCTTTTACTTCTCTTTTTACGCGCGATAACATAATTCCTTTGCTCAGCGACGATTGATGAAAGACTAATGAATAAATCGTTTACAAAAAAAAAAAGAAAAGAAAATAAAAAGGAAAAAAAGAAGCAAAAAAAAGGGGGAAAAAAAAAGTAGCCGTAGTACATAAATAAACTCGTGGAACTCGAGAACGGCTACGCTTCGAATACTCGATCGAGTAATTATTTTCTCCTTTTTTTTGTTTTTTTGTTTTTTTCTTTTTCTTTTCCCTCTTTTATATGCTAAAACATAATTTCTTTGCGATAACGCGACAATTAATGACGAACGAATGAAATAATCGTTCAAAAATAACATTAACATAATTATACGTGATAAACTTTATAATATCGAATAAATGTAAATGTAAAATTCGAAGAAAAAATAAATAAAGAAAGGATGAATAAAGAAAGGATAATCATTTCGAAAATGGATACGATCGCATGTGTGTGATTCGATAGAAATCTCATGGAATCAAAGTAGAATCCAATGTCGAGTATACGGTGGGTATATACGATATCTTAAAGTGAACAAATGGACGTGGCATGGAAAACCGAGATCACGCGAACTACGGAAGGAAAAAAAGATAGAGAAAGAGTGAGAGAGAGAGAGGGAGAGAGAGAGAGAGAGAGAGAGGGAAAGAGAGAAAGAGAGAGAAGAGTTGACTCTTATAGTTAGAAAGGAGTCTCATCATTGACTAGAATCGTCTATTTCTTCGCAAAGAAGATTCATGATCGGCGCATACCACGCAAATCCTTTTAAAGTGAATTCCTTTCGCGAATTATCGTCTTTTCTTTATTTTTTTTTCTTTTTTTTTTTTTCTTTTTACTTTTTTTCCTTTCTTCCTCTTCTTTCCCTTCTGCTTCTTCTTTTTCTTTCTTCTCTCTTTAAAGCGTGCCGCGAGAGAAAACAACCAACCTACCGCAAGAATTACGTCACAGGAATGCGCCTGAATTACTTCATCGTGACATAACGCAGATTAACTCTTAAATTGGTACAACAATTGGATAAAAGAAGAAGCAGCTGGAGCAAATGATACTCTTTCTCTTCTCTCTCTCTCTCTCTCTCTTTCTTTCTCTCTCTCCCTCTTTCTATCGACTCAATTCTTGTCTCTCTATGGTCGATCGCTAGAAGGTAAATAAGTATGTATGTAGTACGTCGATCAACGATTTATACTCGATCATTCTTCTTTAAGCTTCACGATCTCCTAGACATAAAGAATTGGCCATTCTTCTTATACGATTACACTTACGTACTTCTAAATATTTCCTATCAAATTATTTCGTGCCATTGGAAATTGACGTAGTCAAAGTATTTAAATTCGAGAACTCGATTGAACTTTTATCTTTTTTTTTTCTTTCTTTCTTTTTTTTTTTTTTTTTTTCTTACGAACTAAACTAAGGAAAAAAGTAAAAAGTCTTTCTGCCTGACGAAAGAAATACTTTATTATTATGTATATTATTCGAAGGATCTAAGAAGAACAAAACTAGAGAATAAGGACAAACAAAAAAAAAAAAAAAAGAAAAAAATAAACAACAAAGGAAAAGAATCTATAAAAAAAAATTCCTTAAATCTATTGCGAATTATAAAGGAGTAATAATTATAAAAAATTACGAGATATGATTCTTTTCGTTGCTTTTTCCTTTTCTTTTTTTTTTTTCTTTTTCCTTTTCTTTTTCCTTTTCGTATTTAATACATTGTGTTATGCATGAACATAGAGATTTATTTCTTCGTGTTACAAATATAAATATCTTTCAGAAGGCCGCGAGACACCGTTGTCACCACCGCCACCATCGAGTTCATCCGTTCAAACATCGCCACGTGGGTTAGGTTACACCTGCGGACCTATAGATGGATCCTTGTACGCGGTGGTACAGCAGGGTGCTGCAGGTGGTGCTCGCGGTTCACCACTGACAGTTTCCATGGACAGCGGTATCAGCAGTGCTCCACCTCAAAGACCAAGTCCACCTGAACACGAGCCGGATAATCAGGCTCACGGTGATCTTGATAAACTTCTGCACGATATGATGCTAACCGTTGAGGTAAATAGATATCTATATATGTATGTATGTATGTATATATATATATATATATTTATATATAGGTACTTATCTGTCCTAGTAAGAATCTTATTCGATTTGTAATACGATAGTTAAGATTAACCAAGTATATTCTCTTTATATTGATATTTTTAGTCGATGCCAGACCCTCCTACGGAGGATTATGCTCGACCGGATAGAAACGAGAAGATTTACGTCCAAGAAAATCGTAGTTACAGTAGTCACACCAGTAGTAGCCATGCGCCATCAACTTATTCGACCTTGAAGGATTCCTACAGAAGTTATAGCGTCGCCAAAGAATCCAGTCCGCCTTACAACTCTAGCACGTCTAGCTATAGCACGTTAAAGAACGAATATAGAGATAGCCCGAAAAACGTGGAACACCGTAGGGAGGATTACGAGTACCGTGTTTCACCTGATCGAAAAATATCCGAATCAACGGCAGATATATATGGTAGAAAGCAACACGTCGATTCATTCTCTCCATCCGGTAACATCGACTTTATCGACGAGGACATTCCTTATCACGCGAGACAAACGAGTCAACCGTTCTCTTACGGTGCTACAACCGATATGATCAAACATCAAAAATTATCATCACCTTCCTTGGTTAGAAAGGCATCGGTACGTGGTACAGCACCAGTCGTAGATTTCGATGATATTCTTGGCGATGCTAATCCAAGACGACCTATCAGCCCTTTAAGCCCAAATACACCAGATCCACCGCCAGAGTTCGCGAATGGTCCTATCAAAAACACCCCCGATCACGTCGACGGGTAAGTAAAATATACTTTTTCGATATTAATTTTATAAGAGGAAGAAGATAACAAAAAAAAAAAACAAACAAACAAACAAAAAAGGAAAAGAAAAATCTTTTAATATAATTCATTCTCCGAGTCCGTTCCATTCTTATTCGGCCGATATATCATGGATCCTTTTTAGCTTTGAGAAAACATAAAGAGGGAGAGAGAGAGAGAGAGAGAAAGATTAGGTGTTTTTTCATGGAATTAAGCAAAGAGAAAACTACGAACAAGCCGTGGTCGTTTCTCTGGCAGAGCTTCGAGACAACGCACTGGGTCGACAGCATGCGTGTCGCAATACATCCTCCGAAACGGGCACCGCAAAAGAGCAATGAAAGAGTCGAGGTATAGGAGAAAGAAAAAGAAAGCGAGAGAAATAGAAAGACAGAGAGAAAAAAAAAGAATGAGAGAGAGAGAGAGAGAGAGAGAGAGAAAGAGAAGAGAGGCAAGGAGAAAGGTTCCGCGAGTCTCGGCGAGACACAATTAATAAATTGTCTACCCATACTCGTAGCAATGGTTACGGCACTTCTCGTCGTATTTCTGCCAGGAATGGTAAATGCGGTCGTTTTGAGTCATTGCCGTTTATAATGCATGCTTGAAGTAAGAAAAACGAAACGCGTTTTGAAATGCGATAGACGCGGGGAATAAAAATAAAATGGAAGGAGGGAAAAAGGAACAAAAACAAAAACAAAAAGAAAACAAAAAAAGAAATGAGAAGAAAGAAAACGAAACGATCGATTACACCTTTTTTTTTCTTTTTTTTTTTCTTTCTTTCTTTCTTTCTTTCTTTCTTTCTTTCTGTTTTCTCTTCTTTTTTTTTTTTTTGTTTTTTTTTTTTTTTGTTCTTTTTCCTTCATCGATAAATCTTAAAGGCAACAAAAAAAGGAATCGATTAATTGGGTATTAATTAACTTGCAAGTGTGAACATTTTCTTTTTTTTGTCGTTAAGTATCTCCTTCATTTTATTCCATCGAATGTCTAAATTGGCACGAAACATTGAACATTTAGATTTTGAAGAATAAAATGATGGAAGGGATGGGCAATAATTTTGAAAAAGAAAAGTTAAGCGTAATAACGTAATACGATCGTGTTAATTAATTGTTCGAGGAAATTTATCGAAATCCCATGGACGTAGGTAATATAGAAAATAAAATAAAATAAAACGAAACAAAACGAAATAAAAAAAAAAAAAAAAGAGGAACGTTAAAGCAGCGAAAATACTTGATTATTTAGATATTAATAATTAAATTACGCGGGAAGAAAAATTTTCATTGCCGAGAGTAATCATTTGAATTTGATTATAAATCAGATATAATCTGAATTAGTTTGAAACCTTGAATGTCTATATTTTGAACGATGGCCTTCGTCATAACGATGAGAGAAAATATTTCGGAAAACGTTAGACAAACGTTATGATCCACGTGTTAATTTCATAGTTCGAGGAAAATCGAGACAGGAAGAAGGATCGTTGGTAAACTCATGTGGGGCCCATTTTACACAGACGCGTGTTACCTAAAGCCGTGAAAATAAACGGCTTCTCTCTCTCTCTCTCTCTCTCTCTCTCTCTCTTTCTCTCTTTCTGTTTCTTCTTTCTTCTCCTTTCATGCCATTGGATGGATACCATCTCTTACATACATATATGTACGTCGACTTTGCTTTCTTCCATCTTTTCGAGCGAGCTTGGTTACTCGTTCGTTCATGAGAAACCAAATGCGAAATTCTTTAGTCTTTTCTTTCTCTCTCTCTCTCTCTCTCTCTCTCTCTCTCTTTCGTTCTCTCTCTCTTTCTCTCTTTTTCGTCGTTGGGTATTTACAAAGAGCGGCTTGACTGCGTCGGTGGAGAGAAACGACTGCGACGTTTATGGTCGAGAAGACCGACAGACGTTTGGCAGGTCTACTTTCTCAAAGCTAAAAGAACTTCTTCTCTTTAGCTCGAACCTTTTCGGTTTGCGGCCTCGTTCGTGTTCCGACGTTCAATGTTAATCCACTTTAGTATTTATTCGAAAATTGATTCGTTATTATAGTTTGACGAAATAAGAAATTTTTTTCTGTTAGATTTAATAAGTTTCTTTTTTTTTTCATTAAACATTTAATCGACTTTTTTTTCTCTCATTAAATTTCAAAACGTCAACTTTCAAAACGAAAATATTCGGAACGGTCGTCGTCATTTAACGTATTAATATCGTGAAATTCATTATTGACAAGGAGTTATGATAACGAAGATGTCTATTTTAAGACTCTTAGTCGGTATCTTATATAATTGTAAATATAATATAAACGAGACGATTTTAATCGATCGAGAACTGAAGTCTTCAAGTCTTGATCTCTCTGTCTCTCTCTCTCTCTCTCTCTCTCTCCCTCTCTTTATTTTTGTCTTTCTCATTCCATCTTTCGGCATTACTCTTTATTTTTCTTTTTTTTTCTTTTTTGTCACTTTTTCTTTCGGCTATTTCCAATCCCGTTATAGATTCCATTCCAATGTACATATACGTATCTCTTCTCTAAACTTTTTCTCTTCATCTTTCATAACTCTGTAAACCAAAAAGGTACGACACTCGGATACGGATATCGTTTGAACAGAAAGTAGGTATATACACAATACTAACGTTCCTCGAAGTCTCTTATAATTTTCTTCTGGAGCACGAACTTCCGTCATTCTTTCTGCTTCAATAAAGTTCTCTCCTCCTCCTCCTCCTCCTCCTCTTCTTCTTCTTCTTCTTCTTTTTCTTTCTTATTTTTTTTCTTCTCCCCATTCTCCTTCTCCTACCGATAGAACTCTCTCCTTTAGGAAACGATAAAATACTTGAAGTTCTTTTTAAGTTTCATTAAAAAAAAAAAAAAAAAAAACAAAAAAAAAAAAAAAGAAACAAGAAAAAAAAACAAGAAAAAAAGAACGATAGAAAAATAATTATATAATACATTTGACCGATATATTAAAACCGTTAAGTTCCTTATGGAAATGAATGAACTATCGAAAAAAGTTTTGTCCATTCTTGAAACATAGTTATCGTATCCATCGAACTGTAACGTGACTTACACTGATTACCTTCTACATTCTCTTTATTCACCGTTAGTTCCGATAGTATCATAGTCCATCGCATTGTTCATTGTGTTAGCCGATTTCAAGCACTAATATGGAAGTTTAAATGAGATAAGAAAGTACGAAGGAATGTTCGGGCACAATTGTCGTAGCTAACTTATCGATAAGAAATGGTGGTATGAGGGTTGACTGGTCGAATGACTGGAGATGGGAAAGTAAAATAATGATTATATAGCGGAAACTATTCCAACGCGATATCCTAAGACATTATTAACATAATTTCATTGAATCGTTACTATAGATTATCTTGGCTGAGGCAACAACAATTGAAACTGGCCGCGAGGAGAGATGAGAAAAGTCCTAAAACAATATGGCGACAGGAAACTGGAAATCGTGTTATCGGAGAGCTTCGTAGTTATCAAAGGGGAAGATTAAGGCATGACGGTTATGCCAGCGATTCGGCAGTATTAGACGACGACGACGATACATGGATACCAAGTTCAATTTCTAATCAGGTAGATCATTAGAAACGATTTTTCAATTGATTACAATATTTTAGGTAGATTAAATCGTCTTTTATTTTGTTACTTCTTTTCATTTCTTATTTCTTTTTTTCTCTCTCTCTCTCTCTCTCTCTCTCTCTTTCTCATTTATTTTTCTTTTTTTTTTCTTCTCTTTTTTTTTTCTTCTTCTCTCATCTACCAGACCCAAACGAAAACGACCCCTTACACCTCGGCACCGGCGAGTCCTTTGCTCCCGCAAAGATCGAGTAGTCGTAAGTACAATGGCAGCACTAGTAGCGGTATTCTCGGCAGACCAAGAGCCGAAAGCATGAACGAACGACCATTCGTCTCTGTGAAGAGAGCTTACGAGTATCGAAAGTACAGCGACGGTCAGGTGAGAGAATTATGCTTGGATCATATCATTTTTCGTTTTGTTATTCTTTTTTTCTTTTTTGTTTTTATTTATTTTTTTTTTCTTTTTTTTTTTTTTCATTTAAGAATGTCATACCGATCGGTGAAATTCATCGTGCACGTTCTTTACGTCGATCATTCAATCAAAATTTTCTACGCATAGATGATGGTACCAAAAAAAAAAAAAAGAAAAAAAAAAAAGAAAAAAAGAACAAAGTGAGAATATACTTGAATATTCATCGTTCTTCATTTTCTTTTCTTCTTTTATATAAATCTTGTTTCTTTTATTTATCTTTTTATTCATTTAAAAATATCATACCGATCGGTGATATTAATTCGATAAACATTTTCATGATCTATATGATAAAAATTTTAAAAATAAATGTTCATGTAAAAACGATAGTACAAAAAAATACAGTGGCACGATAGATTGCACTTTAGATCAAATTTATTAATGTTATACATATATATATATATATATATATATATATATATATATATTTATACATATGTATGTACGATAGTCAAAGAATGCACCGTTTAGATATTTAGATAGATACGTTTAGAAGCAAAATCAAAAAAAAGAAGGGCCTTTACTCAAACTCCCAGCCCTCACCCCCCACCACCATCGCCCCCCCCCATTCGGTCGGTAATGCTTTAAGCTTAAAATTAGAATTAGAACTCCAATGATCAACATACACAACGACGAATACAATATTACAGCTAGCTAGCTGCGATAGAATTTCCGCTTTGAAAAACCTCCTTTTCTTTTGCACTTCTACCGATGATGTATACTTACACGTATAAATACATAATTCATTATAAATAATAAGCATAATAATAATAATAATAATAATAATAATAATAATAATAATAATAATAATCATAATAATAATCATAATGATCATATAATATAACGGTAATGATAATTTATGTGTCTAAACAAAATGCAAAAACGAAAAGGGGTGATAGAACACTAGTTTCCTAGCATGAAGCGCTTGGCTTGCTTTCCAGAGCCCTCCGTCATCCCCCCGCGCAGTATTTGCAGCCGATCCACCCTTAAGCACAGGAATGCAACGTCGATCGGATAGTCCGGTTAACTTGGAGAAGCAACAACCACCTCGTCCAGAATCTAGAAGCGATAGTTTTGCACGTACCGATGCCTTCCTGCGTGAGCATAGACAACAACAACAACAATTCCTACAACATCAACAACAACAACAACAACAACAACAGCAGCAACAGCAACAGCAGCAGCAACTACAACTACAACAACAACAACAACAACAACAACAACATAACAACGGGATGAATAACATTTCCAGCACCATGGAAAATGGTCACGAACAAAGCAAACGGGCAATTATTCACGAGAAAAATTTTGGAACTTTGGCTAGACCGTCGAGACCAGAGTCGAGAAATCGCGTAACAACGACGTATCAAAATTATTCGAGAAATTATAACAACGATGTAACAACAATAACGACGACAGTGACAGCGCCAATAACAGCAACAACAATGACAACAATGACAACAATGACGACAACAAACGACAGAAGCAACAATGGCAGTGGCCAAAATGAAGGAGGACTTTTGGCGGTGGTCGATCAACAAACATCTGTCCCACTTAATCAAGGAGATCCTCTCGTGAGCCTCATTCGATCATTGGCTGAGATATCGCCTATTCGCTCACCCTCATCCAATTCCGCGACTAACAAGATTGAGAATGATCATGGTCATACAACTATCGATGCGACCGCGACAACGGTCAACAACAACGTCGCTAGCATTGCCACTAATTGTTCCCCTAACCAGTCGCCAAAAGCATGGCAGAATTGTACCCAGGTTTGTCCTTACACGCAAACATTCTCAATCGTCACGCGCGAATTAAACTTAAGCTTGATTGATGGATTACTACCAAAGGAGAATATCTTAAACGAGCACATGCATACCCAAACGTACACGTTACATTCATACACATAATGAGCGCATAAACACGGTGTGCTGATCGTATTCCTTTTCGAAAATAATAATACTACGTACTCGGATATGTATTTGTTTCCTAATAATGATATTCATCGGGTGAAACGCACGTAAAACTTTTTTTTTCTTTTTTTATATATATATATATATATATATATATATATATATATTAGAAATTTCATTAGCATCCGTTTGTTTCCTAGCACCAAACAGACTTGGAAAATGCATTGCTTAGCCTGGTACGCACATAGAACCGTTTCAATTATATATACGTATATATATATATATATATATATATATATATATATATATATATATATATATATATATATATATACGTATATATAATTATCTTTAATCGATTATTATCTGCACGATCCTGTTTTTCACGTCGAACGAGTTAAATCTTTTTTCTTGGATTTTTTTTTCTGTTTCTTTTTTTATCTTTTGTTTTCTTTTCTTCTTTCTTTCTCTCTTTCTCCCTGTGATCGAGAGAATGAGAGAGAAAGAGAAGGCAATATTTCGTATTAAGGTGATCGTTCTTATATTTTCTTTTGTTTAGTCCCACAATGACTCGGCGTCATCGTGGACCGAGAGAAGCGTCAGTCCCGGAAGTACAGTAGGAGTTTCGAGACCGCAAACACCTGCATTCCCTGTACATCCACGTACTCCTTATGTCAATAATGCATCGCCAACTGTAACATTCGCCTCCGATCGTGGCTATGTCATGTCCAACAATAGTTACAACATCAACAACAATAATAATAATATTACCGGAGTGGAAGCTACCGGTGGTAATAGTAACAACAACAATCTTGGAAATTATAATGCCGAACGAACGATTTATATCGAGGAGCGAAGGGAAGTCTCTAAGGAAACGGGACTTCCACCCAAGAGTCCGACAACACAACGGTAAGAGCATTGAATTGTTTATATTTTTCATCGTTTTTCATTTCATTACATTTCTTTTCTTTCATTCTAATTTATATTATAATATTCGTTTGAACAAATGCAAAAAACAAAAAGAAAGAAAGAAAGAAAAAAAAAAAAAGAAAAAGAAGAAAGAAAAGAGATGGAGGACTTCGATCGAGCCAACAACGAATAGGCTATACGTATAATATAATAATTTCAGGATTTCGTTGATCAATTTCTGTTTTTTTTTTTGTTTTTTTTTTTTTTTTTTGTTTAATGAATAGTCCATAATGTCGCAGAGAAAAATAAAAATAAAAATAAAAATAAAAGGAAAGAAAAAATAAAAAAAAAAAAAAACAGAAAAGAAAGATATGTCATTTAAATTGATCTATCATAATTCGATCATAAATGAATGACGACGATGAATGAAGAATGATATTCGTTATTCTAGACGCTTGAGTTTCCCAGCAAGCGGGCCGCTTAAACAAACGCATAACAAACGATGGCCGCTCACTAACCAATCGGCGTCGTTCGACTATAGGTAATATATTACGAAAAGTATGTGATACGTTTCGAGATCGTTGATATACCAACGATCAAGAGTGATACTATGAATAACAATAATCCTTATTGGTGTCGATCGTGTATCGGATCACAAGGATACACTTCATTTTCTTCCTTTTTTTGTTGTTGTTTTTTTTTCTTTTTCATTCTTTTTTTGTTTGTTTTTTTTCCCCTACTGACCCCCCCCCCCCCCATTACACATTTGTATTCCTGTGGTGTTACTAAACAAGCTACGTGTTAGTGCACACTAACGATCAACTGCGTTACATTAAAGCGTTATGTATATACATAGGAGTATGCGACTGCACGGATCCCGATATATAAATATTTTATATATATGTATATATAATCTTAACGCAAATGAACCATGAATATCGATGTTGTTATATATATGTATATATATAACAAAAAAAAAATATATATATATATAATAAGCAATTCGATCGTGACTTTATTTCCACGAGAAATGCATATGTATATATAGATATATATCTCCTTTAAATGCACACAAAACGATCTAATTCCGATGATTTAAATATCGATTTGAAAATAATTTATAATACGATTGCACAAAGGTCTTACTTGTTATTGCACTTTTCATGAAAAGCTAACTAACGAGAGCTGAAATTTTCCTTCCTGCATCGTGAGTTAGTATAGCATTCTATTACGATATTATGCAATTCAGTGCGGAACGTGCATAAATAAATTAGAAACATTGTAAAAAGGGACGAAATAAAAAGATCATTTCTTTGATCCTTTATTCTCATGCAGAATCATACCAGAACATAGATCTTATATGTATTATTCTCTTTTTCTTGCTGTGTACTCTCTCTCTCTCTCTCTCTCTCTCTCTCTCTCTCTATTTCTCTCTTTCTCTTTATTTCTACCTCTATCTCTCTTTATCTCTCTGTATCTATTTTTCGTGCGAGCGGACGCATATATACGCGCGCGCACAAACATTTCCTCCTGTTAATCCATCTTTTAATAACATCTGCTTACTCACTGTCGTTGATCTTCTACGAATCTCTTTATCGCTCTTTATATAGAGCGTACACACGCGTTTCAACGTTTGATCACGATGCTACGTCGTTACTTCTGCACGAGATTTATACCATTTATAAATCATTGGCTTGCACGAATGTATCGAGAGTTACGTCGTTATAATAAATCCATTTCTAAAAACGATCTGTACATTTTCATTACAGCAAGGACCGACCTGTTTCTCCGATAGGCGAATCTGCGATATCACAGGCTCAGGCTATTTCACATAGCCCTGGTACTCCAACTCACGTTGAATTTGCCCAAAGTCCGAAGGTAATTAATTATGTAAAAAATAAATTAATTAATAAAATGAATATACGTATATATATATATATATTTATTTATTTATTTATTTATTTATTTACTTAAATATCGACATGTAGAGTGCTACGTCGTACACATCTATCAACAGCGGTGGTGGTCAGTCGTCTCCACAGGTGCAGTATTATGGATCAAGACGTTCGAGTATTCATTCGAACAGTGAACCTCAAGAGGTCGCTGACATTAACGTAAAATTCGTACGAGATACCAGCAGGATCTGGTACAAACCAAATATATCTCGAGAACAAGGTATAAATTTTTACAATGTTTGTTCATTCGTGCATTGTTGATGTTTATTCGTGCATATATACAATTCATTCATCTCTATCACTATTGATTAATTAATTTATTTATTTATTCTTTTTTCTTTTTTTTTTGTTTTTTTTTTTTTTGTTCTTTTTATAGCAATTTCAATGCTGAAGGATGCCACACCGGGTACGTTCGTAGTAAGAGACAGCAATTCTTTCCCGGGTGCGTTTGGTTTAGCATTGAAAGTGGCAACACCACCACCTGGTGCGCCTAGTAGTCCTAGAGATCCATCAAGCGAACTCGTCAGGCATTTCTTGATCGAGCCAACCTCACGTGGAGTTAGACTGAAGGGATGCGCGAACGAACCAGTTTTTAGTTCTTTGTCAGCATTAGTTTATCAACACAGCTTGATGGCAATGGCATTACCATGTCAACTGTTAGTACCTGAACCAGAAGCTGCTGCTAGAGCTTTGGATTCGCCCGCTACGAATAGTGCACAACAACTTCTTGCACAGGGAGCTGGTCAGTTATAAGAACTTTTTTTCCCTGCCCCCCCTCCCGCCAGTCTTCTTTTCCTTCTTTTCCTTTTTACAACAACAACGACAACAACAACAACAACAATAATCCCAGACTCGTACTCCCTTCCAACTACTCCTTTTTTTTTTTTACAATAGGAATAATATTTCTTGATGAATAGAAATAATATTTATGATTATATATATATATATATAGGTTTGTTTTTTTCTTTTTGTTATAGCTTGCAACGTTCTTTATCTTTTCACCGTCGACACAGAATCCTTGACCGGGCCTCAAGCTATCAAAAAAGCTATAAGTACTTTGTTCGAACAAAAACCTTTGCCGAGTGCGACCATCGTTCATTTCAAGGTCTCCACTCAAGGTATAACACTGACGGATAACGCAAGGAAATTATTCTTCCGTAGACATTATCCTACGAACAACATCAGTTATTGCGGTTTAGATACTGATGAACGTACTTGGGATTTTACCGGTGAAGATATTGGACGACCAATCAGCGCACAGTTAGTATCATTTGGATTAATTTTTCTTGGTTTTTCTTTCTTTTTGATAACATCATTTCTTATCTCCCATTTAATTTCTAATGTTTCTTTCTCATTTATATTTTCTCTTTCTAGTCGTTGCTTCGGATTCGTAGCAAGAAAACCCGCTCACAAATCAGACAATCAATGTCACGTGTTCGCCGAGCTGGAACCGGAACAACCAGCAACGGCCATCGTTAATTTCGTCAATAAAGTCATGATGGGCAACTCGATCGCTAAGGCCAATATCGTATAAATTACGATTCGTCGATTATTATGTCAATCTTACGATCTAATCGATATATACAAACAAAAGATAATGATTTCGCAATAATGAAAGATATTATAATCCATCGTCAATGAGAAAAGGTTTGTCGTTTGAAAAGCTATAAAAGAATTATTACACTTCGAATTGATATTTGACTGAAGGAAAAAGTGAAGAAACAGATAAAGAGGAAAGGAGAAAAAAAGAAGAAAGAAAAGAAAAGAGAGAAAAAAAAAAGAAAAGGGAAAAGAAAAGAAATTCAAATCTTAATTTATTCTAAATTAAGGCATAACTTGTCGCTTGAAAAGTGATAAGAAATTATTAATTAATTAATTAACGAACGTATTTGACCGAGAAAGAGAGAGAGAGAAATAACAACAACAAAGTGAGAAAACAAGGGAAAAGAAGAAGAAGAAAAAAAAAGAAAAATTAAAAACCCTATTAATTTACGAGACATGCGTGTGTTAACAAAATAAAATGAAAAAAGAAAAAAAAAAAAAAGAAAAAGAAAAAAGAAAAGAAAATTTCGATTCTCGTATAGAAAATGTCGTCATATAGAAAACAAGTCGTCTAATTCCAATGATAAATAATAACGTTATCTGTGCGATCGCGAATCGTTAAATTGTCACGTAAAATGACAAATAAATGTAGTTCATCATTAAAAAAAAAAAAAAAAAAAAAAAAAAGAGAAAAAAAAAGAAAAGAAAAAAGAAGTATACTTGAGAGATATAAAGTAGATACGATTGGAATAGATTGAGATAAATGCAAAAATCTGTACGAGTTACTATGAGGTAGATATATAAACGATCTAATCGTTGTTATGATCACTATATAGGGAAACGAACGTTCGAGTTTTTGATCTATCTTTAAAAACACAATGATAACGTAATACGATTAAGCGAATGGATTAAAAACGAAGAAATTAGCTGAAATATTATTCCTTTCATTTCGATATTCGTCCTCGCATACGAATTGAAAGAGAATTTGAAAAAAGAAAAAAAAAAAGAAAAACACAAAAATAGAAAATCATTGTTATTAACCATCGTTACATTGTTATTATTTAAAACGTAGAGAATATCATAGTGACGATTAACGAACGATACGAAGTAGGGTAATGTCGAAAAAAAAAAAAAAATAAATAAAAATATATATATATATATATACGCATATAAATTATAGGTCATTTTATAAAATATAAATTTTTTTCAGTAAAATCAAAATTCATTTGAAATCTGTATAAATATCTTTTAAATATTTCTCGATTTTTATAATACTTCGTAAAGAGTGTACGAGAATATAAATTGTTTCATAAAATTCATTTACAGTATTTTTTTCTTTTCTTTCATATTTCTTTTTTCTTTTTATTTTTCTTCTTTTTCTTTTTTTTTTTTTTTTTTTTTTTTTTTTTCCTTTGGATTGCAAATATTATATAAAAAACATTTCTCGATCTTTATCGTACTTCGTAAGAAATAAATCCTCTCGTAAAAATGATGTGTATGAAGGACGCATGAAAATTAATCGATAATTAATTATATCGATTATTAATCGAAAGTGAACGTAATATTTTCTTACGTAAAATTTCCTTTTCCGTTTGATCTTATTAACATATTCTTTTTCTTCTTTCTTTTCTTTTCTATTCTATTCTATTCTATTCTATTCTATTCTATTATATTCTTTTTCCTTTCTAATTAAATGCATATATGCATTTACACGTCATAAGAATTAATATACGCGAATGTATTAAAGCGATGCTAGATCTTCGATAAGCATTGAACGAATTCGAAAGAACGATAATCCCTCTTTTGATAAAACTGCGTATTATACATAAATAAATATTTTCACAAATTTACAGATAATTTGTGATAATTCTTTTCTCTCTCTCTCTCTCTCTCTCTCTCTCTCTCTCTCTTTTTTTTTCTTTCTTCCTTTTTCTTTTTTTTTCTTTTCTCTTTTTTTTTTTTTTTTTTTGTTTTATACACAATCATTTCGTCACATTATCTTGATTTCGTACAGCTCGATGCGATCGTCGAAATATTTTGCTTTCGTTTTATTATTTAATAAATATTTTTCATTGATAAAAAAAATTTCACATTAACCGATTATATCTAACAGCACTAAACTTAAAATGAACGTATATGAAACTTATCGAAGAGTCGTAATGAATTGATACGTTAAACGTAACTTAAACATATACCGAAAATTAGTAGAAACACATACATATATACGTACATACATACATACATATATATATATACATATACACATATATATATATATACATACATACATACAGGATGTATCAAAATAGGTGGATATAAATTCAGAATTGTATTCACTATAAAAGAGAAAAATAAATAAATAAAAGGAAAAAAGAATTCATATCAACGAAATGTTTCGTTTATCTTATTCACAAAAAAAAAAAAAAAAAAAAAAAAAAAAAACAGAAAAAGAAAAGAAGAAAAAACTTTATTCCTTGACATAAGAATTTTTCATCTTTCAATTATTTTCATATAATGAATATAAATCTAAATTTATATTTATCATTATGATACATTCCATTTATTATATCGTACTTGAGACTCTCGAGTAATATTTAATAAAAATGTTACATCGTTACAGAGCATACGTATACATATAAACACATGTAGGTATATAAAAAATACTATATACTATATAAACTTCGATAATATATATATATATATATATATATATATATATATATATATATACATATATATCGTACTCCTCCGATAAATAAAGTGGACGATATTATAAATAATTGTAAATAAAAGAAATACCCTTGGCGCCTTAAAGGAAATACAATGGAAATGTTTTTTCTTTTTCGTCGATTGAGAATCGACGTCGATGATGTGGGAGAAAAAAAAAGAAATTAAAAAAGTAAGAAAGGAAAGAAAAGCGAAAGATAAGCGAAAGAAAAAGAAGAGAGAAAAGAAATGGAAAATAAAGAAGAAAGGAAAAAGTAATGGAAAAAAGAAAGGATAAAGAAAGAAATGTACATGGAAGTTAAAGTTAATGATATCGGAGCGCAATGAAACGTCACGACGTATTATTTTGTGAGCGATATTCTAAGTTCTTGCCATTGTGCGTCGTTAGTTCTCAAATTGATAATAAGATAAATCCTTATTACGAAATTTGCGAGAGGACGAACGTAAGCAGTCAATTATTATACGAACGAATAATAATTATTATATAAATTATATAAAATAATAAATCTCTGCATATATATATATATATATATATATATATATATATATATATATACATAAACACACATACAGACACATAGAAATACACACACAAAAACAAACACACACACACATAAATACACATATATATATATATATATATATATATATATATATATATGTAATACGAGAGAGAATTTTTCTCAGTATTTTACGTTATCAGTGTTTTTATAGATATATAACCTCGACGGTCGCAATGCAATATATTTTACCGTAATCGATGATTTTTCTCTTCTTCTATCTTATTCTATATTCTATATTTTATCTTTTTATATTAATCATGTTTAAGAAGTACGATTTGAGATTAGAAAATTTATCATCGTGAATTTTACTTTTTCTTTTTCTTTTTCTTTTTCTTTTTCTCTCTATTTTTTTTTTTCCCAATTTCTTTTCCTTCCTCGCCATCCTTCGTTCTTGAGAAAAGACAGAAAGAAGAGGAAAATTTTTTTTTCGTTATAACACGTTGTGCTAGTCAAAATTCGAAGTGTACGTTTGTTGTTTCGTAATACGAAGCAAAAAAAAAAAAGAGAAAGAGAGAGAAAGAAAGGGAGAGAGAGAGAGAGAGAGAGAGAGAGAGAGAGAGAGAGAGAGAGAGAGAGAGAGAAAGGAAAAGGATGAGAGAACAGAGGGAATAAGTGCGAATTATATATTAATAAACTCGTCTTCATTGTCTCTATCGAAAGGACGAGCCAAAACGAAAGCCTTCCCTCGTTTGTACCTTTTTGCGTTAAATGCAACTTTTAGCGATCGTTGCCGATCTTTTTTCTCTATCATCTGTTCGTTTTTTCGTAAGCATCTAAAACCGACTAACAGAGTAATAATATTGATTTAACACATTAGTCATTATATAATTAGAAATTTTATTATTATTATTATTATTATTATTATTATTATTATTATTATTATTATATTATATTATATTATTATTATATTATTATTATTAGTAAGCTATACCCCATTACTCCGTATGCGTTCACGCAATAATTGTACTGTTACGTACCTTATAGGTATGATCGTATAGCTACAACAACAATAAACCATATTCATAGAGCATAAATCATAATCTCATTCTTCTCAATCATATTATGTAGATGATTAGTAATTAAAATAAAAGTAAAAATAAAAATTAAGAAAAGAATAAAAAAAGAAAAGAAGAAAAACAAAGGCAAAACATCTACGACAAGAATTTTATATTCGATCTGAAGGATCGATAATACCTATGTACGATATCATGCAGACGCAGATGTATGAACAATAGCCTATCTTCAGGCGAACGGATAAAAACTATACGATAACATTGTCTTTCCTTTCATTTATCAATTTGACAGATATTTTACAAAAATCAATTATGCATTTACATATTTCTAAAAGTACATTTAAAGATTCATTGATGTTAATAAATAAAAAAGAAATGCAAATGATTAAAGGTGTGAATAAGGAGGTTGGGAAGGTGGGAAACGACCTATTTAAATACTGATAAGAAAAAATCGTAATGACATCATTTTCTATTTCACGTCTTTCTTCTCCTGTCAACTTTTATCCCATAATGATAAAATATAATATTACATTATTTCCCTTTCCTTTCTTTTTTCTTTTTCTTTTTTTTTTTTTTTAATTTTCTTTTACTTCTCAATTTATCTCATCCACGTAGACAACTAATAATACGTATACCGAATGACCAACGATGCTTGAAATCGTTGTAAAAAAGAAAATAGAAAGAAACGAAGGATCATGAACGTGCCGAGAACGTCACGAATTCACATCACCGAAAGTGAAAACCATAATAGCGGTGTCGCTTCCTGCGTCTCAATCATCATTATTGTATATATACATATATATGTATACATATATATGTATATATATTCATACATCGAGAAACAATGAAATGCATTTTATAATCTATGAAAATAGGACTACTTCTGTTTCTATGAGTATAGGTTTAAATAAGCGCGATTTCACGAACGATGACGTCAGTAAGAGCTATAGAAATAACGGCATATATAGAACATCATTGTGGGTCATAACGTGGATAATTAAAAACAAATGTAAATCCCACATTACAGAGTAAATCTATGTATAACTTTCACCGTGTACTATTTTTCTATATAATTCCTTGCGATTATCAAGTAATTCGATTCAATTTAAAATTATAAAAACTTGAATGAATGCAGAAGAAAAATTAAAGAAAAAGGATAAGGAAAATAGAAATTTTTCTCATTAATATTTATGATTTTTCACAAACATATTCTCTTCGGAAAAATTAAAATATTTAACTAAAACGAAATATACAGATTTGAACAGATTTATTATAATTTGTATGAAAAATATTATTGCATTTTTCGTAAATAATAAAAATTACTATTGCTTCTGTTACTGCTAATGATAATAATTACGTTGAAAAAAGATTCTACTGGATCTGAATAATATATATATATATATATTTTTTTGATAAATTTACTGTAATTAAAAATATTAATTATATAATATAATAATTATAAATATTATCACGTGTCTCGTATAGTTGAAAATTGATTATGATGGTGATGAGAAAACGTAAAAAAAAAAAATTCTAATATATGATCTAAATAATGTGTGCGTATGTGTATGTGTTTGTCTTCGTTTCTCTTTCTTTTTTTTTTCTTGATCGAATTCTTTTTAAAATAATTCAAAAGCAAGTAAAAGAAATTCCGTAGTAGAGAGATAAGACCATGGAACAGGACAGTGAAACCGTAAGTAGTTCTTTTTTGTTCCCATATA